AGACAAAGCTGAGACGCTGCATTCTTCCTTTATATCTTAGCTACAATAGCGAGGAGGTGGCAGGGTTAAAAATGTTTGCACACCCATGGGATACCTTGAATGTGCAAGGCTGTCCTGGCCTTGCTATCTCTGATTTGTAAGACTGACCGGCTTGAGAATGTGCAGCTCTTCCAAATCCAGTATGTAGCAGGCAGCCACTGCCACATAACCTTAAATGTAAGCCATCTAGTTTAAATTAATGATAAAAAAAATAGCTTCTAAATAATGAAAGTCCCCAAAGCAAAATTTTCATCTAATACTACTAATTGCCTTTGAATTAGTTCTTCTCTATAATGCCACGTTAGCACAGCACTGCATTAATTATTGAACAATATTTAAATCATTGTGAAGGAATACATTCATTTACCACCTCTTTTAGATGGGAAATGTCTCTTACAGTATGTCACTTTTTAAAATCTTTTTTATTTAAAATAAAAATCTTCTGTTTGTCTCCCATTTTACAGTCATGAATGTTTGTGAAGACAATACTGCAATTGAACCGCAGAGTACAGAAGAAAAGTGTTCATCGTATCTTCAATCTTACAATTAATCCTTTTTTAAAATCATGCCTCTTAGCAAAAAGTATTCCTGGTATGTTGTTGCTGTACTGGTTGACAGCTTAGTAAATTGCTTTTTAAAGGAATCTACCTGCACTGAATTAATTATTTATGACACTAATAAACTAAGTATTCATAAAACTATAGTGATTGTGCCAACACGGCTTTTGAATGTACCTCACTGTTGAATAGCTAAAATTCACATTCCTTTGAAAAAGAATTGCAGCCTTTCCATGACTTTATCTCAGTTATCTATACAGTGTAAAAGATGAAATTACCATGCCTAAAAGTGAAAGCAGAGATATGCTGCAATAGAAGTATATTAGAGATAACTTTGTTCCTTCACTATTGTGTATTTCTACAAAACCTATTTCTTCTCTTAGCAAATATTCGAAGTAGAGTTTTGTTGTTTTATAAGACCTCCTTTATGTTGCCCCATAAAAATGCATTCAGGCTACAAATCTGTTGAGTTTATCAAACAAACATGCATTTTACCTTCTGGGTTTGGGTCCACGAGAATTTCTTTTTAGGGAGTTCTGGTAAGAGATGCAGCTCCTCAATGGAAAGCTCTTAAGGTATAAGTCAAGGCATCCTGGCCTTCACAAATGAACACAACCACAGCCGAACACATATACAGACAAAAATCCCAGAGCACATGTATATTTTTTCCTCACTCAGATGCAGGTCAGAGAAGGCACTGGTATTACAGGTGCTCAGTGCCTCACCAGAGGACACTCAGATATGGTATTAGTGTACGAATGGGTAACAGAGTATGGACATGTATTGGGTCGTGGGGAAAAGGGGAGAGGTACCGTTACGGGTCCTTGCCCTGGCGTGAGTACTGAAGATATTTTTTACAGCTTCTAGATGGCATTTTTCTTCTTTTTTCCCTCAGTAGTTCTCCACAGGATATATTGTAGTTGTTCCACGAGCTACACTACAGGATGCTGTAAGACCCAAATAAGTCTCTAAAGAGCTTTTTAGAGTCTAAATAAGTTACAGGAGCATCTACCTTTACCACACCATTTTGAATGACCTCTCCTTGAGTGTTATACACAAATTATGGAGGCATCTCCTTTGTATCTTTCCAATATATATCATATTAAACTGAAAATTAAGAAGATCCAGAAAATTACAAACCAGCCAGCATCACTTCAGTCCCTGTGAAAACTGTGGTACAGATCCTCCTATAAGCTATTTCTAGGCACATGAAGGACAAGAAGGTGACTGGGAAAAGCTAGCACAGATTCGCCAATGGCAAATTGTGCTTGACCTGCACAGTTGCTTTCTGTGATGAAACAACTTGCTCAGTGGGTGAGGGGAGAGCTGTGGACTTCACTTACCTTGATTTTAGCAAGATGTTTGATATGGTTTCCCACAATGGCCTTGCTGACAAACTGGTAAGATATGGATTGGACAGACGGACCATGAGATGGGTGGAAAATTGGCTGAAACGATGAGCTCAAAGGGTGGTGGTCAATGGCTCTAAGTTGAAATGGCAGCAGGTCACAAGGCGAGTTCCTCAGGCTCAATGCGGGTTGTGATACTGCTCACTATCCTTATAAATGATCCAGATGACAGAGCTGAATGCACCCTCTCCATATTTGTGTATGACACCAAACAGGGAGGAGCAGTACATACACAGGAGGTACGAGTCACTGTATAGAGAGATATTGACAGGCTGGAAGATTGAACCATAAAGAATTGCATGAGGTTTAGCAAAGCTAAATGTTAAATCCTGCGTCTTGGAGGACTGAGGGATGTGGTTATCCCACTCTACTTGGCACTTGTCAGACCATGCCTGGAGTACTGCATCCAGTGTTGGTCCCCCCAGTGCAAGAGAGACAGAAAAACATGAGAGGGTCTAGAAGAGGAGGTTCACCAAGATGATTAGAGGGTCGCAGAGCTTAACATATGTAGAAAGGTTGAAGAAATGGAGTTTGTTCAGCCTTGAGAAGAGAGGGCTTACAGAGATCTAATCACAGTCTTCCCATACCTAAAAGGTAGTTGTAGAGAAAATGGAGGTGCTTTCTTCACAGGGTTGCCTGGTGACAGGATGGGAGGCAACAGAGACAAGTTGCTTCAGGAGAAATTCCATCTGCAAAAAATAAAAAAATTCTTCATTGTCAGAACAATTAAGCAGGTTGTCCAGAGAAGTGGTGGAATCTCCCTCATTAGAAACATTCCAAACTTGGCTTTTGGTCCTAGTTAACTTAATTTAAGGCCCTGATTTCAACAGGAGGCTGGATCAGCTGAGCTCCAGGGGTCCTTTCCAACCTAGACTTTTCTGTGATTCTGTCATTCTCTGGTTTTTCATATTTAAATTGAAGATTTGGCCTTACCATTTTTTTGTGTTTATTTTCACCTTAGTTATGAATACAGATAGGCATTGTCTCTCATTTAATTATACCTGCATTTCACTTTACTTTATTCAGTCCTCATAATCTTATATTTAATGCAAGGCATAACCATACGTATAAAATGCTTCCAAGCCAGCCCACATTAAAGTGAGCTTTGCCTTTTTGAGGATTCTGTTTTCTGCATATTTTGTGGACTATTTCAGCTTACAACTCTCCACAATCTTGTACCTATTTCTTTGCTCTGCCTGCTCACAAATCGCTCTCCTGCTCTAATCATTCAGGCCTCTCTGAGACGGTTCACCCTGCCTGCACGTTGTGAGACAGGCCAAATTTTATTCTAGCCTGGACACACACCTGAAACAGTCAGAGTCACATACCATATCTGACAGATCTGATCTTTTACAGCCTTATTTATTCATTCTCAGATTTCTCCTTTTGTAGGCATTCATTCAATTCTGCTGTGCCTGATGTTTCTATTCTAATTTTTGTTCTTGGTTGCAGAATCCACTCCCTTTTCCTCCAAATTCCTTTTTTCACACTCTTTGCATCTAGTTTTATGAACACCTCAATTTTTTTCTTGACTGAGATGGTCGTTTGTATTTTCCCACATAGACTTCTGACATTTAAATCTTCAGCACAGTATTCCCTTTGTGAGAAAAATCCTTTGACCCTATAACCTTAACCTTCACTAGTATCTGGATTCACGTTGGTACCGTAGTCTTTTCCCCAAATTGTAAATTCCTCTAGGTGACTAATAATTGCAGAGTGAAGGAGTGTTTGATGGAATACGAAATTGTTCAGCTGACCTCCTTGTAGGCCAAGATTCAGCTACGGAAGGAAATCTGACCATTGTGTCTCTAATCCATGATCCTTCCGTGAATTTGTTAGCCTTCTTATCAGAGGTGATGAAAGGCATCATAATGTTGTAGAGCCGTAAATGCCCTCAGCAGAGCTTTCTAACACTAAGTGGAAGACTCAGCATGGCAATGAGGTAGTGATTGGATGCATGGCCTCAACAGAGTAGATATAACAAATCCACCACAGATCTTGCAAAATAGACCTCATTATTTTGAAAGGTGCAACTTATTTTGCACAATACTGAGATGATGGCAGCTATGGAAGATCTAAAGATAAACTTATCTTTGTAAATACAGCAAAGTACAAAATAATTTGAGATTTTGAAAATCAGGCCATAGGCCACAGATCGTATCACCAGAGTTTGCGTGTTCTGTCCTTCTTGTTTGTATTAGTCAGTTCAGGGCCTTTTTTTCCCTTCCTGTCCTGTGTTGTTACAACTGGCATCTCAATAGTCCTGGGTTACTTTCTATGTGAATTTGCAGTCTTTCGGTTCCAGTTTCTAAGCATGTGAGACTTCATGCCTGCTATTCCTTTCATGCACAGTTTCTGGCAGTTTCCACATCTGAGCTACATATGACCCTCAGCTATGACTTCTTTCTGAATGCTATTTTGGGAATTAACGCTACACAGCGATGGCCTGGTAGGGTTATATCACTGGACGGCCTATTTTGCTCAATCTGAAGAATTGGTCTGAGCAGACCAGTGCACCTTTTGAGAAGGAAAAAACATTTTCCAGGTATGTATGTGACCTGCTATTTCCAGTCTAGACATAGCCGGAGTCCTGTTGAAGAAAACATGATGGTCTGAAGATTTTGACTGCATCTCATTTTGTTGAAAACCGCCATATTTGAGACTCATTGTACAGGGCATTTTCCTTTGAGATTGTTTCATGCCACTTGCGTTACAAAACCAGATGCCTAGTTTTTTTTGGTCCTGAAGGTAAAAGATGAAGGGAGACATTTTGTTAATTGTCTTTGCTAAGAACAATTAGACTAAGCTAATAGAAGCCGGTTGTCTTCATCTTTCTGTGAGGGCTACGTATGAGTCATCTTACCAGGATATTAAAAATGATGAGTAATCTGATAAGGGTGATTGAAGTTTTTCTTAAAGATGGATATCTTCTCCAGAGCTACCTGATCTCTTTCC